GAGTGTGTGGAGAGAGAAAGAAGAGGGTAACCCTCCTCTACCCCTGCCAGCAACCAGGGATTGCTGATTTAGGAAGCAAGAACCCTAACTTGGCCAAAAGCAGAACCCTACAATTCCAATAGACTGGTATTGAGTGGCATAAGCATATGCTTGCTAGCCACTACTCTTCCAGGAATCCCTGGAAAAGCAGGCAAATCTCTGGGGGAGTGGGATGGAGGAAGGGGCCAGGAAGGAGGCTCTACAACCCTGTTGAGAAAGAGAAGCTTCCAGCACTGAGGCACCAACATCGGAAGGCCTCTGCCACCTCTGACCTGGCTGCTGCCCTCCTGGCTCCCTCTCCTCAGCCCCTGATGCTGGCTTAGGCCCAACTGAGGTTGTCCAGGAGACAGTCGGGTCCCTAGAGTACCCAGAAGCTCTTCAGAGCAATGCAGGCTGTTCTGAGTTTGGGCGTGGCTACCACAGCCTCAGGTGACTGAGCTGGCTTGCTGCCACCTGTCGCGTGGGTTCCGGGGTATGCACACACAGGGCTTGGAGCTGGGGGCTGGAGAGTGCTCACTGTGCTAATGCCCTGGGGGATCCAGGAGAGGGACCCTGGACTGCATCACAACCCAAGTCCAGGCTGTCAACTGAGTCACTCCAGACCACTCACATCCCACATGTCTCTGCTCGCCCCACACCCCGATGGGCTGGGGAGAGGCAAAGAATACGTCTAGCAGGGAGCTGCACTCTAGTGACGGAATCTGAGGGACACGGTGTTGGGAGCTCATCTGAGCCCTGTTCAGAAAACCTGGGTTCTAGACCTGCCTCCACCGCTAACTAGCTGTGCGGCCCCACCTGAGACAGAAAGTCTTTGTGTTGGAAGAGGGCTTCCAATTCCACCCCTCCCCACCAAGTAGCAGTTCTACCCACAAGCCCTTGGCATGGCATGGCATCATCCAGTGTCTCTCTAAATAGTTCCAGGGCTGGGGACTTAGCCATTCCTACTTGATAGTTTTGTTAGAAATTTCCCTTTTTCAAAGAGCCTGGGAGGACCACACCGACATTAACTGTCAACATGGGGCTTCCCTGCTGGTTTGCTGTGGGGTACTGTCCAATGCTTCTGTAAACATTGTAACAGCCAGGAAAACAACGAAAAACAAGGTCCTCCATTTGAACCCAAAGTGCCTTCCTGGCATTTCCACCTCTTGGTCCCACATCTGGTCTCGTTGTGTGACCTTGGGCAAGTTACTTAACCTGTCAGAACCTGTATTTTCTCATCTTTAAAAAGGGAATTATAGGGAGGAACCAGCAGTTAGCATAATGGCTATGTCGCTGGATTTCCACGTAGTCGACCGCAGTTCGCGTCCCAACCCAGTGGCTTAAAACTCACGCCGGGCGCGTGTGCGTGCGTGCCCAAGATCCCGAGAGGAGAATGGAGGAGAAGGGATTGCGGCATGACCATCCCCCCTGGGGGGTGATTTCTCGCTTTCTGTCTCTCTGTCTCTCTCTGTCTGTCTGGCGAGCGCACGCGCCCTACAGTGAAAATCTCTCCAAAATAAGGGGAAAATTTCTCCAAAAAAAAAAAAAAAAAAAAAGGAGTTATAGGGGACCAGCAGGTAGCGTAATGGCTGTGTCGCTGGACTCTCATGTAGTCGACCATGGTTTAAGTCCTGGACCCGGTCGGTGGCTTAAACTCACGCCGGGCGACTGGAGAATAACCTGAACCCACTTTTTCACAATGCCCTTCAAGTACCTGGAGGTGGGGACTGGGTTTCCACTGAGTCCTCTCCAGGCTGAGCTGCTCTTCAGGGAATTTGATTTCCTGAGCAGTCCCAGCCCAGTCACCCCTTCTGTGCATCAGAGAAGACAATCCAACGGGGTCAGAGGGAAGGAACCAGTCACGACCTGAGTTGGGCGCTACCTCCGGCTAATTAATTGGTGAAGCCTAAGGCACCCATCCATGTGTGCGTGTGTGAGGGGGCACACAAAAGGGAAAGTGAATTAAACCTTTCACTTACCCAAGCCTTGGTTTTCTTATCTACAAAAGGAGGGAGCAATATCTCTGCTATGAGAATCAGCTGGGATTGAGGAGATAAAAAACACTAAAAGCACAACCTACGGGCCAGCAAGTGGAGTGGAGCTTAGGGTGCCAGAACTGACATGGCTGACTGTGTGGTTTGAGTCCCAGACCTGGCGGCTTCAGACTCACACCTAGTACGTGCGTGTGCATCCCCAGACTCCAGAGAGGAGGGCAGAGGAGAAAAGACAGTGGTGTGGCCACCCCCTGGAGGGAAGTGATTTCCCACTTTCTCTCTCTCTCTCTCTTTTGGTGATAAGCACACACATATGCTTAGCATGATTTGCACCCTATAGCAAAAAACAAACAAACAAACAAACAAAATGCATAAATTCCTATGACAGGGATCATGACTCCCAAGCACTATTCAGTTTAGATGCTAGCAAAGCACTGGAACCACAGAGCCAGATTGCTTGGGTTTGAATCCCCACTCTGCCACTTACTGTGTGACTGTGGAGACACGATCTTGTACTGCTGCCGCGGTTCCCCCTCCGCCCCGCTGTGAGGCACAGCTGACCACCACGCCAGGTTCGAAACGCTTTTTTATGAGCACTGAAGTATTGCTTAGCACTCAATAAATGGTAGCTGTTGGCTGGTCTCATCCCCTCTCTTACTCCTTCACATGGAGGTAAGGCTTTACTGAAACGAGGCTAATTCATAGCATCAATTTTGAAAAGCAAAGATGCCAAACCAAACTGGTCCTGTTATTAGAGTGAGTTGTTCCCCAGCTCCCCAGTATCTGTAGCAAGGTGCTGTGCTCAGGGCTTTACGGCCTCTGACTTCCCCAACTCTCCCAAAAGCTCAGTGAGGTAGATACAATTATCACTCCCGTTTGTTTTCTTTTTCCTTTTTTTTTTTTTTTTTGAGAGAGCTTTTTGCTATAGGGTGCATGTGCTCACCAGAAAGACAGAGAGAGACAGAGAAACAGAAAGCAAGAAATAACCCCCCAGGGGGGATGGCCACACCGCAATCCCTTCTCCTCCATTCTCCTCTCAGGATCTTGGGAATGCACACACACGCGCCCGGTGTGAGTTTAAGCCACCAGGTCCAGGACTTAAACCATGGTCAACTACGTAGGAGTCCAGTGACCCAGCCATTACGCTAACTGCTGGTCCCCTATAACTCCCATTTTAAAGATGAGAAAATACAGGTTCTGACAGGTTAAGTAACTTGTCCAAGGTCACATGACGAGGAGTGACGGAGCCAGGACTCCAGCCCAGGTTCGAAAAATCATGTAAGATGGCCTGATTTTTTTTTTTAACCGGCTCCCTAATTTGGGTTCCACTCCAGCTTCAAGGGATCAGGGGAAGCCAGAGCCTCTTCTTTGACAGCATGGCCTGCTGTTCCTGTGATGTGGGAAAAAGAGGCATTTCCTGCTTCTCTGGCCAAACTCTCTACCCTCCTGCCCACTGCTCCCTCCCCTCCAGGAGACCTCAGCTGCACTCCTATAGGTCCTCTCGGACCACCCTGGCACCTGATACCCCTGGTACTCCTGGGCTGCTTGCTGAGATCTGAGCCCCTGACCATAAAATGGTCCCACATTGATCTACAGAAAAAAAAAAAAAAAGGCATTCTGGACATGGGCCTCGATGCGTAATATCATTATGGAGTCAGCAGTGCATCCCATCCCATTATCGCCTGGCCAGGCTTCTCCGAAGCGAGCCTGGCTGCAAATGGCTTTCTCCTGTCTGGAGGGGTGGCAGGGCACAGCCCCTATTTACCCTCCACTGCCGGAGGAGAGATTTTATATTTAATTGACAACTGGCTGCCTGCCACCTCTTTGCCTCGTTGGGCCCAGGCTCCAAGTCTGATTTTCTCATATGCTTCAAGAACAGGCTTCTCTCCTCTAGGTCCTCTGCTGCCCCAGAGAGCTCCCAGATGCACTCCCGCCTTTGTTGGTGTGACTGGACAGGGGATCTTAGAAATCTGTAGAGGCAAACCCAGGAGCTACAGGAAAAGGATGGGGAGAGGACTGTAAATCTACTGTCTGCCACAAGCAGACACAACATTGGAGCAGGCTCCTTACACTCACTGCCTCTGAATAAGGTGCTGCCCTCCTCCCCATTGACAGATTGAGCTTTGATGAGGTGCCCCGCAAACCCAGCTACTAAATGGCAGCTCAAGACTCTGAACTGAGGCCCCTATGACTCTACACTCATGCCAGAGCTAAGAGAGTGAGAAGTAAGAATACGGAAAGGCCAGCGTGCACCCAGACCCCACAGAGCCCTTGCATTGGAAGAGCTATCAATAACGCCTTGTCTAATAATGATTAACTTCACAACGGCGAGAGCTGGACACTAAAATCGGTACGGGCCCTTCTGAGTGACCACACAGGTTGCAAACCCATTAAGCCAGCCCCGCAGGTATCCCGATGTAGTTGTGAGAGGGTAACAACAGTGAAGGTCATGGATCACAGCTGATTACCACTTACCATTTCCCCATCCTATCTGGGCCCAGGGTGTGTGCATTCCCCACCCCTAAGTGGTGACCAGTGGTGCCACTGGTCCCTTGTTGACCTCAGTTTGTCAGCCATCCAGTCATCACAATGCTGGCATCCCCAGGGCCTCGGCCCACTTAGAATTGGTGCCACTGCAGGAGGAGGGGAGGTCCCTGCACAAATAAGCAGGAATACAGTGGAATTCCCTAAACAAAGAACAGTCTCTTCATCCGTTGTGGCAGGAGCTCAGGTGGCAGCAATAGAGATCGGAACACTGCCAGGGGTCCTGGGTTAGTCCTCTCCACGTGGCATTGGACAGATCAGTTTTCCTCTCTGAGTATTAGACTCCAGTGTAAAACGCAGGCACTGGCCACATTGGTGACTCCTAGTGGGGCAGGGGTATGCCACGAGTGTGTTGCATTCCTCAGGTGTTGGGGGTGGAAGCCCAGGCAAGTTCCCAGAGACCAAGAACCAGAAAGGAGAGGCAGAGGCAGGTGCTCACACAGCAGGAGCAGCAGAATGCTCCAGATGTCTTTATTAGGGCTCGAGCACAGCATGACAGTGGAAGGCATGAGGACAGGGCAGCAGTGCCCAGCCTAGGCATGCCTCAGACACACACAAGGGGACAGCTTTAGAAAAGGACTGACCAACACCAGGGAGGGGCAGGAAGGGGTGGGAGTGGAGAGAAAGGGCTGAGGGAGGGGCAGAGGCCGAGGCTGAAGGGGTCACCTGGCCTCTGCTATTGCACGCATCCTCTGGCCACAGGCCAGGAAGTACAGTATTGCAACTGGTCTCCTCTTGCCCGAGGCTTCCCCTTCTCAGACCCCTGAGCCAGATAGGCAGACAGACCCCTGCCCTGCCCGTCTGCCCAGCAGCATCTTTTTAAAACAAGTGGACAAAGAGACAGAACCAAAAAAGAAAAGAAAGGACAAAATGCCCCTCAGTTATGGACAAAGATGGGATGGAGAAAGGAGTGGAGGAGGCTGCAAAGGAGCCCCTGGAAGTACCCCCACACAAGTGGGGCATGGGGTGGGAGGTAGAACCCCAATCTGGGGTGGGGCAGGGCTAGTGGAGCAGTAACCCTGGGGGCAGTCTGGCCTTCAACAGACTTCAACAGACCATCTGCTGACAAGGGGAACACTCCCAGGAGAGAGTAGCCTGGGACTATCCAGCTGGACTGGCAGTTCCCAGGTGCATTTTTCCTGGGACATTCCACACATATTCAGCAGAGACAAGGAATCGGTGAAGGGAAAGGGGATGGGAAACTTGGGGGTGGGGAGACACAGCCTAACAAAGAAGACAGACCACCAATAGCACGTGCACTACACACAAGAGTATAGTATGTATGAATATAGATACTATATGTGCATATATATCTCTTCAATGTACAGTAGAACAGAACATCAGACCCAGATGGCTCTGGGCCCCGAGGGTCGCATGGGAGATTTCCACCAGTCCTGCGCAAACAAGGATATCTGAGTCTTTCCCAGCGAAAGATTCTTGCCTGGGTTCCAGAGTTTCCCTAAGCCTCTGGCTTTCTGTCTGTCTGCCTGTCTCTCTCACGTTGGTGCCGCCTTAAGAGAGGGTGAGGACTTCAGCCTGGGCATAGTTGGACGAGAGGGCGTCTTGGCAGGTCTCTGTGTTTAAAGAGCACAGGTGTGAGACACTGGGACGCACGCTTTCGGCTCAACATTGCCTTCTGGGGGTAAGGAATTCAGCAACAGAAAGGGAGAAACAAAGAATGAGATGTTAGAAGGAAGCCAGCTGCTGACCCACAGGCTGTGGGTTAAGGAGCAGTTTGGGAGCAGAACTGGAAGACATGGAGAACCCAGGGCTAAGAGGCCAGCGAGAGCAGGGATGTGTCAGGAATGGAGTGAGCCCTACATCACCCTTCTGCCAACTCAACTCTGGATCCAGGTAACTCAAATCATGCTGCAGCTCCTCTCCGTACCTGCTCAGGTAAACGACTAGCTCCAACAACCACTAGCATCTCGGGTCTTCAAAGCACCAGGACAGTGTGGAGAGGAATCACAGCTCTGCAACCCGGTATGGAGGCAGACCTGGGTCAACAGTGCAGGGATTGGGGGGAGGAGCTTCAGCCCTTTCCAGGTCAGTACAGGACAGCCCCACAGCTGTTAGATTTGAGGTCCAGGGCTAGGCCTATTGAGGTAGGGTTGAGACTGGGCATCCAAACCTCACCACTGCTACTCTGGGCTATCTGGTTGTGCAGAAAAGCTTCCATCACTCTTCTGGGGGAAGGATATTCTCATGTTGGAGTGATGCTTTTTCCACCTCTTTAAGTCAGTGCATTGCAGCCACCTCCTTTAACACGGCCCCACTGGCCCATTAGTGTTCTGGGCCTCTGAGAACCATCCTAAGGAAACCAGACAAGCCCAGGGCTCTTCAGATCCCACTCCTGAGGACATGCAGAGTGCTCCTAACATCAACCTGTCCACTAGCGTCAGCAGTACCCATCTCTGGTCCCTACTTGCTAGGGGAAGGGTCCAGGCCTCTGGGCTCCTGAAGGCAGTTAGATCCTCAGATGCCCTGGGGAGAATGCCAGGGTTGCCAAGGTGTCTTCAATGGGCATGGGGTGAGGCAGAAATCACAGCAAACCTGTGAAAGGCCCAGGAGTGCTTGGGAGCAAAAGAACCTATCCCGGGGAGACATGGCCTCCGGTGACTTTTTTACTGGCTTCCATGGGCTCTTCATCCCCAGGGGCTTCTTCTGAGGAACCTCATTCTGGAATCTGCCTATTTGACCCACCAGGGGTTGGGCAGGGATTTCAGTGGGTGATACTCTCTGGCCAGGTCAGAGGAGGCCCTCCTCTTGCAGAAGTCTGTGAAAGGGAGCTCTAGGCTCCTACTCGAGCCCACATTCTAGACTAGTCACTTACCCTCTGAGTCTGCCTCACAGCCATCCCTCCCTGAAGCCTTGAGGGCTGAGCAAGAGATTCCGGTAAGCAAGACTACCTCTTAGGTAGTCCTGGTACAGATTTGAAGGTGAGGTTAAGAACAGCTACTGGGTTGCTTCTCTGTTCTGGGGGAAGGGGCTGAGCCCTAGCTGCCAGGGAAGGCTTCTGAAAACCAAAGAAACAGGTGCAGGTCCGAGTCCAGGCCAAGGAAAAACAAATTGCACTCACAGACTGTGGGTGAGAGAAAGCTCTCTCCTGAGGGGTGAAGCCCAAAGCCTGAATGGGCCTGAGCCACCTCCATGGCAGAGCCCGATGTCCTGTAGACTCCAGGACCCACTGTTCCTTTCTCAGAGGTCCTGATGTGGCTGAGGCAGACGACCTACTCAGCTCTCCTAGTGGTTGGGTCCTGTCTCACCCCTAAACCAGGGAGCCAGAGGAAAGGGAGTGAGCCTATCTCCCCCAGGATATTAGGGGCTCCAGTCTGGCACTGCTGCATTATGTCGCCCAGGGACATCTGTGCCCACCATGGGGGTGCCGTGAGCATGCCCATCCCTGTAGGAGGGAAGAGAAAGAAGGAGGCGGTGGGTGCCGTGGAAACTTGGGCTCTTGACAACTCGGGGCTGCCACAGAAATAGCCGCTTCAGCTCCCTGAACCAGAAAGGCAAGTCAGAGGAGAAAATAGCTGGTGACCGTGCTAAACTGGACACCCAGTTCGTCGTGTCCCAGTCCGGGCCTGGACCCCAGTGCCAGGAGCCCTGTGGGGCAGCACTGGACTTCATGAAGAGGCCGGGCTCTCAGGCTCACCGAGAAGGGCGAGGATGCCCAGCCTCTCCAATCTGCTCCATGGGCCTCCTTGTCGCTGTCATTTGTCACTCAAGGCCTGTCCCCTCTGAAAAGCGGTTGCATGGATGACCCCTGCATCCCCTCTTCTGAACTCTTACGGGTCACTTAGTTTTGAGAGCAAATGGAAGGCTAGCCCCACAGATGGCAGCAGGGCTAAGACCTTTCCAGAAGGGACATACGGCATCTGCCCAGGGCTGAGGGAGGTGAGGAGATGGGGCTGCTCCAGGCACAGTCTCTGTGCCACACCCCAACCTCAGGGAGCAAATCTGATTCTTCTGCCCAGGGGGTGGCCCCCAGATTGTTCAGTCTCCGAAGGGCCCAATGCTGCCTTGCCATGCCTATCCCTGCCCACCCTGGAAGGAGCAGATATGGACCTTACTTAGTCATTCCCTCCACAAAGTTGCATAATCTGGCTAAAAATTGCCGGGAGCGCGGCTCTGCTGTCAGGTCTAATTCCCATCAGGTGAAACAGGAAATGTCGGCTGAGGCGCTCTGGCTCCTAGGGCTGAGGACGGCCCGCGGGGGGAGGGTGCCCTGGGCGGGGGAGGGGCTGGCTGGCAGGTCCGGCCCTGCTGGGCGTGGCCCGACCCTGCTGGGCGTGGCCGGCGCGGGCCGGGCAGGCTGGCTGCCTCAGCATTTCCCCTTGCTCGCCCTGCGCAAGGTGTACCCCTGTTCACCCAATGACTCACAAACCTGTTGTGCTCCGGGCTCGTTAGGTAAATGAATACACTTAATTATAGAAATTAGATGAGTCTCCGGTTCTGGCAGGAAAGCGGAGCGCAGAGGATGGGTGGGTGCGGCAGGTGACTCAGAGGCAGGGCTGGGAGTTTGAGGGAGCCGAGAGGGAAGAAAAACTGTCGCGGAAGCAGAGGAAGCAGCGTGGAAAGATGCCGCAGGCAGCTCGGCGCACACAGATGGGATGCCGGGCAGCGCTGCTGGGTGTCACTCGCTGAATCTGGCCAGAGGCCCCCTGAGAGAAGGGCCTCCTCCACACAGTCTGCCCACAGCTGGCACGAAGCCTGGGGCTGTGACTCTAGGGACTCCCCCCTCCCCAACCTGTCCCCTGACCAGAGCTGGGTAAGATCAGGATCAGGCTTCTTGTCCCAGGGCAGCACTGCCTGCAAGCACTACTCTTCTGAGGAGTCAAACCTCCTGCACACCAGCAGAGACGCCCCCCGACAGCCTTGGTCCTTGCTGGTCTGGGTGTGGGATGGACAGACAGACAGACAGGCTGTTTGGTTATTCGTTAAAGGCCCCGAGGGATGGAAATGCATTTGCAGTTGTTAAAAACGTTAACATAGGCATGGCTCCCCAGCCTGGCTGACTGGTCCCAGGTGCACTCAGGACCACCCCACACGCCTGGCAAGGTTGGCCTTGGTGGGACCCTGAGAGGAGGGCCGGGCCCAGAGACACAGGTCCTGGGGGTGCTGGCACTTATGGCTCAGGAAGAGACCGGTGGGGGCAGGGTAGAAGCCCTGGGAGTAATGTCCTCCTTGCTCTGATTCCCAACTGAACATTTCGGGGAGCTTCATGCTTTGGAGGAGGTGCTCAGGGTCCTGAATCTTCCATCCCGGCTGGCTCCTTCCCACCGCTCCCTGCAGACCCCAGGAGAAACGCTGGCTAGGAGGCGTGAGTGTGCCTGTTGTGTGTGTGTGCCAGGACAGCCAAGGAGAGCTACGGGGCAGAGTGTCCGGGGGGTGGGCTGGTAAGTGGGTGGAAGGGAGGGGAGAGCAGGAGCTTTCTTGGAGGGTAGGGTGAGCTGTATCGCGATGCCAGTGGAGACAGCCCCAGACTGGTTCCAGCCGCTCCTGCTATGTTGTTTAGACTCCGGGACTTTTCACAGCCTTGGTGAAGAAAAGGCACATGGGTCAGAGGGTGCAGCTGTTCACCAGGGCAGCTCCGTGAGCTCCATGCTCAGGAACCCTGCAAGGTGGCGGCCAGGCCGAGTGGGAGGGCCTGACTTCCTGGAAGAAGTTTCTTCGCTCTCCCTGGACTCCTGGGGAAAGACTCCAGGGCCCCACACCGTGCAGATTTTTGTCCTGTCCTATCCCCAGGTAAGCTCCCCTCCAGCTCCTCAAAGGCCCAGCAGCACAAAGGCCCCACAATCTCCAAAACCCTCCTTCTCGACTGGAAGAAGCCCTAATTACACCTGGTGCCTTCCTCCCAGGAAGCTGACACTCTGACTCCTGGGCTTGGTTATTCGTTAAAGGCCCCGAGGGATGGAAATGCATTTGCAGTTGTTAAAAACGTTAACATAGGCATGGCTCCCCAGCCTGGCTGACTGGTCCCAGGTGCACTCAGGACCACCCCACACGCCTGGCAAGGTTGGCCTTGGTGGGACCCTGAGAGGAGGGCCGGGCCCAGAGACACAGGTCCTGGGGGTGCTGGCACTTATGGCTCAGGAAGAGACCGGTGGGGGCAGGGTAGAAGCCCTGGGAGTAATGTCCTCCTTGCTCTGATTCCCAACTGAACATTTCGGGGAGCTTCATGCTTTGGAGGAGGTGCTCAGGGTCCTGAATCTTCCATCCCGGCTGGCTCCTTCCCACGGCTCCCTGCAGACCCCAGGAGAAACGCTGGCTAGGAGGCGTGAGTGTGCCTGTTGTGTGTGTGTGCCAGGACAGCCAAGGAGAGCTACGGGGCAGAGTGTCCGGGGGGTGGGCTGGTAAGTGGGTGGAAGGGAGGGGAGAGCAGGAGCTTTCTTGGAGGGTAGGGTGAGCTGTATCGCGATGCCAGTGGAGACAGCCCCAGACTGGTTCCAGCCGCTCCTGCTATGTTGTTTAGACTCCGGGACTTTTCACAGCCTTGGTGAAGAAAAGGCACATGGGTCAGAGGGTGCAGCTGTTCACCAGGGCAGCTCCGTGAGCTCCATGCTCAGGAACCCTGCAAGGTGGCGGCCAGGCCGAGTGGGAGGGCCTGACTTCCTGGAAGAAGTTTCTTCGCTCTCCCTGGACTCCTGGGGAAAGACTCCAGGGCCCCACACCGTGCAGATTTTTGTCCTGTCCTGTCCTATCCCCAGGTAAGCTCCCCTCCAGCTCCTCAAAGGCCCAGCAGCACAAAGGCCCCACAATCTCCAAAACCCTCCTTCTCGACTGGAAGAAGCCCTAATTACACCTGGTGCCTTCCTCCCAGGAAGCTGACACTCTGACTCCTGGGCAGCCACAGGTTGGTGGGGGACTGTGCCGGTGGCGGGAGGAGGCTCGGGCCCACTCACTCCTGGTCCCAAGTGAAGCCTGAGTGCAGAGAAGCACGGCATGGGATGGCGTGGGGAAAGTTGTCGAGTGAGCACTGGGAGTGTGGTGATGTTAATTGCCACACTTGCTTAGCAGGGCCTGTTTCCCAGCAACCCACCTGTTCCCTCTCGAAGGTCACTCTAATTGGTGGAGCTACATGCTTGTTGCCAAGAAGCAGTGTGGAGGCATCTTGAAAATAGAGCAGCCAGGCCCCACGGGCACCCCAGAGAGAGAGGGTGGTGGGACAAGGTTCCCCTGCCCCGTGCACACACGTGTGCAGCCTCCACCTGGGCACAGCTGCTCTAGTACCTCCTGGTTCCTCACAGCCTCTTCCACACCTCTGCTCCATAGAGCCTCTCACAGCATAGGAGAAAAGCCCGAATCCTACATGGGTGTGGCACCCCTTATTGACACGTTCTAGTCATTTTCCTAACAAGCTCCAGCCAGACCAAGGCACTGTGTCTGAATGAGAAGGCAGTGGGAGCCACTGTATGTTTGGGATGGGAGCGAAGTACACATCCGGGGCCCCAGGATTGGGATGCAGGGGGACCATGGGAACACAGGCAAGGGCCTAACAGGTCCGAGCACACTCCATCTGCAGCTACTTAGGTGGGCCTCGGGGCCCTGTGCTTCTGGGCGCCAGACTGCTGCTCCTGCCACCCAACAGGACACACACCCAGTAAAGCTGGACACATACCTCTCAGGGCCTAGTTCGTCAGGTGGCCTGGGGATCCCATAGGAACTGTGAAGCTAAGAGGACCAGGGGAGACCTGGGAAGGTGTCCTGGGAGCCCACATGGGCTGGGCAGGTTAGGTGACATCTTCAGGGACACAGAAGCAGCATGGGCTATTCCTACAGCAGTCACTGTCCCTGCCTCACTCATCCCAGTCTGGGTCTGGGGCTCAGGGACAGTGGCAAGTGGAGGGAGTAAATCTGGCCAGGAAAGAAGCAGCCAGAGAACCCAGGGACAAGCTTTGTTGTAGGGGAGTCGTGGTTTATCCTACAATTAGGCAGGGTGTTTAGGGAGGTGAGGTCACAGGGATAGGGCAAGAAAGAAAAGAAAGGGAACGAAAACTGGGTAGAAGGAGTACCTGATCTTAAGAGCCCTAGTTCTCAGCCACTGATGGCCTCAACCGTTCTCCCTCATTTCTAGCCCCCCCAACCCATTTGCAGAGAGGACTCTCTAGCTCTACCACCCAGCTGCTGCCCTGCCCCTGCCTTGGTTGGGGCCTGGTGGGGCCCATCCAGGGGATGGGCTGCTTGCTGAACTCTCCAAATCCTTCAGAACATTCCTCAGGCAAGACCCACTCCCCCTGTCCACCCAAACCCCTGGTCATCTCTAGCTGTCTCAAGTATAGTCACATCCCAGGTGCCGGCAGGTCTGGCTCTACCCATCCTGGGCCCCAGGAACACGTGGCCAGAACCAGGTTCTCTGTTGGTCACTCCTGGGACTACTGTCCTAGGGAAGCCTTGGCTGTGTTTGAGGGAGGCCTAGGGAGAGGCTGGCAGCACCCCCGTGGGGCCAGGCCTGAAGGCAGCAGTGGGACTAGAGGCAGAGCATCTGTTACAAAGGGAAGGGCCGGGCCCTGACCTGGGTACTCATTCTAAAAGCGGGGGCGTGTCCAAGGCAGAGGAGATGGTGGCCATGGTCTCAGGGGAGGCGGGGACCTCAGGCTCTGTGAGGGGGACCGGGGAGACTCCGTTCTGTGGGGGCTCCCCACCTGCCCAGCCCGGGGAGCCATACCTTTGCGGACACTACCATCAGCACAGGCATAGTCCCCGGCGCTGAGCAGGAAGCAGGCAGCCGCCTTCTTGTTCCGGTCTCGGGTGCCTGAGCGTCGCAGGGCCCGGCGCTCCTCGGGGGTAGGGGCAGAGGCCAGGGGCTGGGTGAGGCCAGCTCCCTCCTCGTCTGACAGCACCGCATTGGCATCGCCATTCTGCTTAGAGTCTGAAGGGAGAGAGAAAGGAGGCTGTGTGAGAGGTGTGAGAGGCTGCTTGGCCTTTCTCCTGAGGTCACTTGGGGCCTCTCAGATCTCAGAACCAGGGTGTCACCTCCCTGGCCTGAGGAGGGGGGTCCAGCATCTGCCTCAGGGCAGAGCAAAGGGCAGGATGCTGTGTTCTGTGTGAAGGCCAAATGCCCCCCAGCCATGGCCTGGAGTCTTTCTGGGTAATGGAGCTGGCAGCACAGAGGCCCTCCAGCGGGGACGCCCAGGTCTGCCTGTGGAGGCTGCCATCGGATCAGCCCAGGCGGGCAAAGGCTCTGCATCCTCCTTGGGTCTGGCTCAGGCTGATGCTAGGGTGAATCTGCAGTCCTGTGGAGAGTGCCTGGCTTGCTGGGTGCAGGGGTAGCCCCAGCAGGGTTAAACCTATAAAGTGGCATTCATGGCTTAGTCCTGGACCATCTGAAGGCAGTTATTCTTGCTCACTAGCACCTAAGCCAGAGTCTATTGTCTAAGACCTTGGGCCCTCTGCTCTGGGCTCACCTGTCTGGAGAGGGCCCTAGGGAAGAGGTGTCAATTCCACTCCCCATAGCTGTGGGCTCTGAGCCCCTATCAGGCAGCTGCACAGGTGAAGCTGGGGCCTGGGATCTGGGTGGGGGGCACTCAGTCTGAAGACAGTGGCCCTGGGAACCAGTAGTTAGCGTAATGGCTATGTCGCTGGACTCCCACGTAGTCGACCGCGGTTCGCGTCCCGGACCCGGTGGCTTAAAACTCATGCTGGACGCGTGTGCGTGCGTGTCCAAGATCCCGAGAGGAGAATGGAGAAGAAGGGATTGCGGCGTGACCATCCCCCCTGGGGGGGTGATTTCTCTCTTTCTGTCTCTATGTCTCTGTCTGTCTGGCGAACGCATGCACCCTATAGTGAAAAATCTCTCCAAAAACTAACTAACTAAATAAATAAATAAGACAGTGGCCCTGACATAGGCCAAACATGCCCTTAACGTGGCTGGGCTTGTTAGGGTCAGGCTAAGGGTGTGGCTGAGAGGGCTACAGAGACATGTACTTGAGGAGTGGGCCTAGAGACTTCTACAGTTTGGTGTTAGGATCCTCTCCGAGCCCTGGATGGGCCTCAGAGTACACTGAAGGTTTATATTCAGGAGTCAGGGAGGGGGCACCACTTTGGTGAGAGAGAAGAGAGAAGCCTATGGGTACTCTTCTCTCAAGGTCTTTGGAAGACCCAGGCCCCTAATGACCCAAGGGAACAAATGGCCCCTGCGTGTAAGATGGGCAAACACCTCCAGGCCACAGGTGAGTGGCCAGAGTCTGCTACCTGCCCTGGAGGGCTTGTCCCACTGTGTCCCAGAGTGTAGCCGGGAGCTGCTGCCTCAGTCTCCTGGTCCCAGCCCAGCTTCCCCACAGCCTGGCAGCCAGTGTCTCTGCATACCGAGAATCTTGTGCCTGCCCCAGGAGCCCAGCCTGAGCCTCACAAGGACACACTTCCCACTCTCCAACCCAACTCTACACTGCTGGGGAGTAAGCGGATTCCTATCCTCTGTCTCCTGCCTTGGGGGAGGAGGGGCAAGCTTTCTTGCTGTGGTCTTTCCATGGCCTTGAAAGCCAGGAGTCTGGAGCCCAGGCCCGTCCCTTCCAGGATGCAGATACCTCCACTTCCTCCCCTTTCCAATGTCTGGCCCACTCCCTCCCTCCCCAATTCTTCTTCCATCCCATGTCAAATCCTGAGCCCAGGACTCCATCTCGCCTGTGCTGAGCAGATGGCAGCCTCCCACCGCCGCTCCGTTATCACATTTATTAGGCCAAGAGACACCAGGCTCCAGTGTTCGGGGAGAAGTGATTCATGTGTTGATGCACCTTGGAAGTGCAGCTGCCCTGCTCTCTAGCTAATAATGGCGGCGCCTGACATTTGTAAAGTGGTTTTAACTTCTCAAAGGCTTTCATGCCTGTCATTCACATGGGTCTCGTCCAAGTCTTGGGGGTGAAATATTGCTATCATTCCCATTTTACAGGTGAGGGATCGATGCCTGGAGAGGCTGACTGGTCTCAGCAACAGCACGGTGGCCGAGATGGGGTTAGAAAGCAGGGCTCCTACAGTGTGGCCGAAGCACTGCCCATGGCAGCCTGCATGGGAGGGAGGGGGGTACTGGCTCCCTGATCGGATATTCACGAAGCTGGCAGAGAGCCAGAGGAGAGGGGAGTTCAGCCCCTCGTACAGGTGTACCTCTTACTTAGGGATGCCTGGCCCGCATCCAAGGGCTGAGGCTCACCTGGGAACTCCCACGGCCCCCGGGGAAAAAGGAGTCTTCCTTCCCAAGCCCCCGTCTCACCTGCCCGCTTCCTCTCCATCATACCCTCCTCCCGGGCAGGGGGGCTGGTGTCACTGTAGGTGCTGTCCCGGGGCGAGGTCTCCTCCGACTTGCAGTAAATGGGCGACTCAAGCTGGGCCGGCCGGGGCACGTGCTTCTTTCGTTTTTTGGGCAGCTTCTGCTTGGCCATGGCCAGGGAATAGTACATGCCGAAGTTGTTGACAATGACAGGCACCGGCATGGCAATGGTGAGCACTCCGGCCAGCGCACACAGCGCCCCCACCAGCATGCCTGACCACGTCTTAGGGTACATGTCCCCGTAGCCCAGTGTCGTCATAGTGACCACAGCCCACCAGAAGCCAATGGGGATGTTCTTAAAGTCAGTGTGGTCGTTGCCCCTCGGGTCGGAGGGTCTGGCCCCGATGCGCTCAGCGTAGTAGATCATGGTGGCAAAGATGAGCACCCCCAGCGCCAGGAAGATGATGAGCAGCAGGAACTCGTTGGTGCTGGCGCGGAGCGTGTGGCCCAGCACGCGGAGCCCCACGAAGTGACGTGTGAGCTTGAAGATGCGCAGGATGCGCACGAAACGTACCACACGCAGGAAGCCCAGGACGTCTCGGGCCGCCTTGGATGACAGGCCACTCAGCCCCACCTCCAGGTAGAAAGGCAGGATGGCCACAAAGTCGATGATGTTGAGCAGGTTCTTCACAAAGTCCAGCGTGTCGGGGCAGCACACGATGCGAACCAGGAACTCCAGTGTGAACCACAGCACACACACGCCCTCGATGTAGGTCAGAATGGGCTCTGTCTCCACCTCCCGCCGGAAGCGCACGCTGGTGATATTCCCCACACGGTGAATCTCTGTCACGTTGCGATCGATGTTGAAGGCCTCATGAGTCTCCAGGCAGAAGGTGGTGATGGAGACCAAGATAAAGAAGAGAGAGGCGAAAGCTACCACCTGTGGGTGGGGAGGATGGTAGAGGCAGCTGTTAAAACAGGGATGATGCGCCCAGCTGGGGACAGGGACCTCTGTGCACTGGTCACCAGGCAGTCCACTAGGCAGGATTAAGGCTCAGAGTCAGGGGCTGGGATTTCCTCTTCGGAGGGTCTTTAGCCATCGGCTTGGCTGCCCTAGGGCAGTATCCCAGTCTTTCTCATAAAAGACAGGCTGCTCCTGACCAAAGCAATGGTCAGGCAAGTACAACTGCCCAGCCCTGCCCCTGATGGCTCTGCCTGCCTCGCTCCTGCTGGTGCTTCAAGGTTCCTCACACTGTCATGGTGTACAGACCATCTGGAAACCCTGTCCCATCAAGTCTAATCCAGGAGGGATAGGGCAGGGCCTGAGTTTCTGCATGGCTCATGAACTCCCTGGTAAGAAGGTTTGTCCACAGACCACAGCAGGAGTAACGAGGCTTCAAGGCAGAGGTCTTCAAAGTGAGGTCCCGGACCAGAAGCACCAGGTTCTAGGAACTGGCTAGAAGCACCAATTTCAAGCCTCACCCAAACCAACTGAATGAGAAATAACCAGAGGAGGGCCTAGCAATCTGTTTTACCAAACCTACTGAGTAATTCTGATGCACACTAAAGTTGGGGTCCACGGTTTAAGGGGTGCACAGAGGCAGGGGGATGCAAGGAATGACTCTGGACCTCTTTCCGTTGGCTAACTCTCTTAGCCACAATTCCCACCATGACCCACCTCCTTAAGCCATGAGTCCTAGTCCCTTTCTCCCCAGTCTCACCTCAGGATGTCCCCACTGACTGCTCAGACAGCAAGGATGTCCCTGGAGGAAGATAACATGCACAACGGCAGGAGACAGGGTGGTCTGCCTAGAACAGCCAGTCCTGCCTCTTTCCGTAAGCTGGCATTTCCTGGCACACCAAGCTCCAAAGAAAGATGAACCACACCCATCGGGACCAGACAGTGGCAGCGGCTGATCCTGACAGCTGCTAGGATCCAGGCTAGAATGATGACAGCGCACTCGGCAGAGGAAGGGCTGGGTGTAAGTGTCCAATCATTATGAATGGAGATGAAATGCATGTGTAATAACAGCAATTACGGCGCCTTCATCTGCTATTCATGCCGTGCATTCACCACTGTTGAGATGCCCGTTGCCGGGGTCCAGTCTCACACCGCCTGCCGCCACCTGCCATGCTTGGAGGGTGGGGCTGGGCTTCTTTCCTGAGTAGAGGGCTCAGCCTCTTTCCTGAGTAGAGGGTTCTGTGGCCCTCGACCACTCAGCAACCCCCATGCCTGCTCTGCCCTGATGTCCACCTGCGCTGGGGCTTTGCCCCCTGTCCTAACGAGGACCCAGATTCACCTCTCAGAGAGTTTTTCCTCCCTCTGCACTGGGCAGGGGAGGGGGCACATCCTTCTTTGTTTGTTTGTTTGTTTTTAAAGAATGTATGTTTTTAAATAATTTTATTTAACTTTATTTATTTATTTAAATTTAACCAGAGAGAGATAGAGTGAGAGTGAGAGAGGGAAAATGAGAAGGCAAGCCACCAGGTCTGATACTTAACCATGGTCAGCCACGTGGGAGTCCAGCGCCCTTAACCACCACGCCACCTGCCGACCGCAACACAGCCTGTCCTTAGTCCTGCAAAGCCGCAGTGGAGGATCACACTGCGGGGCAGGGGGAGGGTGGGGGAAGATACAGGAAAATAAGCGAGAAGCTGGACTGCCAGGACTTGTGGAGCAGGAGCAAGTCTGAGGAGGGGATTACAGGAATGAACGTTCTTCACTGTCTATTCTGTGCCTGGCACTGGTAGGTCCCCTGTGCATGTCACTGCCTTCAGTCCTCCCAGTGACCCTGTGTGGCAGACCTCATCTCTGGTCTTGCAAGGATCAGAGAGTTTGCATACTTGCCTAAGGTCACACAGCCTGCAAAGGGTAAAACCCATATTTGCACTCAGAGCTACGTGCCTTCAGAGGCTGTACCTCCTCTTCCTACCACATCGTCCTCACCACCTCCTGAGCAGGGTCAGTCCACAGGCAGCCATCTCCAAGTTGTCAGCTCCCTGATGCCTGTTATGTCCCGCTCAGGGGTGGATACCCTGGGCTCAGAACAGACACCTTCACCCACTCCAACGTATCTCACTTACCCTTGGACTTGGACGGGCTGGTCACAAACAGCAAGGAAGAAGGTTGTGGCATGAGGGCATTGGATCGCAGATACACTTTAACTTTGCCTGGAGCTTCTCTTGCCTAATTTTTGCTGGTGAAGGTAAATTCAACTTCCTTTTCTGGCCTCACTTTTCCTCCCCTGTGAAATGGGCTCTCAGAACCAGACAGGCTGCTCTGAGCACTCAGTAAATGGCTCCAGCCCGTGGGTTCTCCATAGCCATCCCGAGATGAGCCAGTGAAAGCACCTGCCCGTGGTCATGGCAATATTGGGAATCCAAAATCCTGGTACCACCTCCACCCCTGAGGAACAGAAGGCATTGGAGTGACAAGTGGGGAAAGTGGACCCCAGTTCTGCCAGGAAGCTGAGAAAGCAGGAGCATTTTTTCTCTCTCTCTTTCTCTCTCTCAGGAGAAGTTAGCTAGGAGAGTTGACCCACCTGGGAGTCCAAGCGTGAGGTTAATTAGTGGTTTGGAAAAACAAGTTCAGGAAGCACTGCCAAGGGGTTGAGCTTGGAGAGGGGGAGGGATGGGGTGGCCCTGACCAACTATAGGACCCAGGGACCTGCCCACCTTCCTCCACTGCCAGGCCACAAACTCTCTGCAGCAGGCCAGTCTCCTGCAGGCTCGGCAGGTACGAACAACTCCCCTGGCTTCGTGTCTTCCTAACCTCTTCCCCTTCTCTAAGAAAACAGACTGTCCCCTCTACTGTCTTTATCCCTCCCCTCCACGCTCTCAGACGAGGGCAGGTAAGAGTGGCCACATGTACTCCTTTCTCAGGGAAACTGAGGCACAAGAGAGGGCAGATGATTTGCTCAGGGGAGGGAGGCCAGGTCTTCTGCTTCTCAGCTCAGCGCTCTTTCCACGTGGCCCCTCTGACTGAACAAGCTGGACAATCCATTCCTTCTTTAATGAGCTCTCGGTTGGCTCAGTCTCTCCTGCAACTTCCCCAGGGCTGAGCAGCAGGAGCAAGGCAGGCCCCTGGAAGCCCTCTTTCCCCATAGGAAACAAGAACTGGGGCCTGGCCTTAGCAGATCTGGAAGCCTGGGCTCTGGGTGCATGGTCCAGATGGGTCCCAAGGGTACAGATTCCCCTTCAGGGCCCCAATTATTCCTTCCTCCCCTAAACCACTCTCTGGACTGAATCATTTCATAACTGGTTGACTCTGTTCACAACTCAGTCTTTGCCAAGCCTTCCCCTCTAGGGGTAGGATACTGTTTTCTTTCTCACAACTGCCTGGATTGGGGTTTCCCAGGACAAATTAGGGGCCAGAAAGGAGGAAGCAGTGGCTGCAGCAACACAGCCCTGCGTGGAGGTCAAAGCCTCGTGTTCGAGACTTCTATGCATCCCCTACTTGCCACCCTGCAGAGCTGGCAGAGTGTATCTGAGCTCTCTCTCCCACCAGCCCCTGTGCTCACAGGCTAAGGGCAAAGAAAGCCCAGATGCCTCACCCTGGGGTCAGATGGCCTGGGCTCCTCGTCCAGGTGAATGGTGGCCGCTGTGCCTGTTTCCTCAGTATAAAGGGGGCAGCACTAGTACCCACCTTGCAGTTACTGTATGGAATGAGCTTCTCTATGGCAAGTGTCTGGCATACAGTAAGTGCTCAATAAAATGGTGACAGAGCTGAGGAGGTGTTCCCTGGGGGGCCCTGCATGCAGCTGCTGAAAGCCAGCTGGATCTGGAATCAAAATATCATGGAATCCTTGCTGTTTAGAAACAATAAAAGATTTGGAAGGCCACCCAGTGCAGCCACTTTCTGCTCTTTTAGAGACGAAGAAACTGAGGCCCGAGAAGTGACTTGCCCTGGTTTCCATGGCTGAAGCTGCCAGTTCTTTCTGCTGAAAGAGGACACAGGGCATGGATCCTGCTGTTAGTCAGAACTGCACAATCAGAAAACCACTGGTGCGAACGGGCTTCCCAAGGCATCTCCTCTCCTGCCTGCTGGGAGGACACAGGAGGTACCCAGCCATACGCAGGGTAGTGCTTCTCCTCGGAGCTTCCTGCCCCTCTGGGCCCTGCAACACGTAGTGCTGGCTGTGTCTCTTGGGGAGCTGCCCACCTCCAGAGGCTCAGGTGTTTTAGCTGAGGGGTCAGTCTCTTCCACCAAGCCCCCAGGACTCTGTATAAATGTGAAGTCACACACTTTCGGGTTCAAGCCAGGCTCTGCTGCTGATTGCCTGCGACCCTCACTGGCAGTTAACACAGAGTGTGTTAGCCTCTTTGCCCCGAGGACCTGAGCACCAGGACCAGCAGATGGCACAATGGTTACATTGCTGGACTCCCACAGAGTTGACTGCAGTTAGAGTCTGGTTTCCATGGCTGAAGCTGCCAGTTCTTTCTGCTGAAAGAGGACACAGGGCATGGATCCTGCTGTTAGTCAGAACTGCACAATCAGAAAACCACTGGTGCGAACGGGCTTCCCAAGGCATCTCCTCTCCTGCCTGCTGGGAGGACACAGGAGGTACCCAGCCATACGCAGGGTAGTGCTTCTCCTCGGAGCTTCCTGCCCCTCTGGGCCCTGCAACACGTAGTGCTGGCTGTGTCTCTTGGGGAGCTGCCCACCTCCAGAGGCTCAGGTGTTTTAGCTGAGGGGTCAGTCTCTTCCACCAAGCCCCCAGGACTCTGTATAAATGTGAAGTCACACACTTTCGGGTTCAAGCCAGGCTCTGCTGCTGATTGCCTGCGACCCTCACTGGCAGTTAACACAGAGTGTGTTAGCCTCTTTGCCCCGAGGACCTGAGCACCAGGACCAGCAGATGGCACAATGGTTACATTGCTGGACTCCCACAGAGTTGACTGCAGTTAGAGTCCCAGACCTGGTGGCTTAAAACTCGCTGG